GCTTCGCACCCGTGGCCCGGCTCGCGCCCCACCTGACCACACTGTCTCCGTTCATTTCAGCGTGAAGGAGCTGGTCATGCCCAGTGTGCCGGACCCCAAGGCCTCCTTCCCGGGGCTGTTCGAGGCGCACCGCGGGGACTTCCAGGTAATGCCCGGCTTCCCGTGCTGTCGCACTGTGCATCTCGGCCACGAGCCCCTTTTGACCTGCACACGGCAGCTCCGCGCTCCTGTCTGCCGCTCAGAGGCGGCGGCTCGGAGGGTCCCCGGAAGCCGTGGGCCTGCAAATCAGCCGGGAGATCAGCGGCCCCAACACACCTGCTCAGCCTAATCGCCCGCCCATCTCCCCAGGAAGCCGAGGAGCCTCGGCCCGCAGGGCTGGGCGCCAGGCGGGAACTTCCGCTCTGCAAGGTCTGAGGCAGCCGTGACCCCACCCGGCAAATGCTTGGCACGGCTGAGCGTCAGGCGCTGGGGAACTCGGCCCCGTCCCCAGGAGCTCGCTGGGCGCTGGGGACGCAGGCCGCGGCTTTACAGGACACTGCGGTCCCCGTAGTTTCATTCCCGGGGGCCGCCGGCCACTGATAGGTGCTGGAGGCTGAAAACATCACAAATTTCCGCCCTCCCCACCCCAGTCCTGGGGGCCAGCGTCGTGACATCAGGTGTCCCCGAGCTTTGCTCCCTCCGGAGGTCCCGGGGAACGGTCCTTCCTGCCTGTCCCGGCGTCTGGGGGCCCCAGGCGTGTCTGGGCTGGTGAGCACGTCCCTCCCATCTGTCCCTCCGTGTCTGCGTGGCTTCTGCTCCGTGTCTGTGTCTGTGTCTGTCCTGTTCTGTCTCTGATACGGACACTGTCACTGGGTTTGGGGCCACCTGCTCCAGGGGGACTCATCCGGTCCCTCACAAATCACGTCTGCACAGACCCTGTTTCCAAACAAAGCCACACTCGCAGGTCCTGGGGACTAGGACTCGGGAATATATTTATTTGGGGGAAAGGGTCGGCGCCATTCAACCTCCGACAAGAACAGGGTGAACTTCACAACTTCTTAGGTGTAGGGGATGGAAAGAGTCAGGGGGGAAATAATTTTCCCTCTACTCCCTTAGGTTCTGTGCCCGAGGACTGTAAATTAAGTGAGGAAAAAAGGCAGATTAAAAAGAGAGATTAGCAGGAGACGAGGCCTATTTTCCACGCACGCAGGGGGGTCGCTCATAGGGAACAGGGAAGCCGCCCAGGCGGCTGAGCTGCTGACGGGGGCGACAGCTCATGGCCACGGGGCCGGGCCTGGCGGGCGGGAGGCGGGCGGCAGGCAGCAGGAAACGCCTGGTCATTGGGGTCGTGTCGCGCGTTTGTCCCAGATGCCACCTGGGCCGGGGAGGGGACGAGGCCCCGTGCAGACGGAAGCTTCTTCCTCGAGGGGAAGCAGATGCCGTGGTCCCAGGCGGGAAGGGGCGGCACACGGCCGCTCTGGGTGTGTGGGCTCCAAGTCGCCCCTGTGGACAGCGGCGTGCGTGGGGGGCCGGGGCGTGTGCAGACCCCTGCGGGGCGCAGAGAAGGGGTGCGGTCAGCGGGAAAGCCCCCTGGTGCGGCCTTCGCCCCGAGGCCCGGCTGCTGCACACCTGACCTCTGTGCCCAGCCTCCCGGGGTGGCTCGTCACCATGCTGGCCGTGAGGGGGCCCGGAGCGGGCCGCGTGTGCTCACCTCTGAGTCCTGACCTTTCGGTCCCGCAGGAGTGGATCCACGACACGCAGAACGTGGCCGTGCCGAGCAAGGTGGAGCCCGGGGAGCTCGCGTGTGTCCTGGAGGACGCACCAGGGGTCCCGCTGCCCACGGCCCAGGCCCCGGCAC